ATTAAAAAAAGACACTCCATACCCAACGGCACAATGTTGTCCTAGTGCTACTTTATTTGATATTTTGGGGGTAAATATTAATGTTTTTTTCCAGAAGAAAAGGAAAGGAAGTCCGTGAGGACAAATGGAAAAAAAAAAACAGATAAACTACTTTCTTAACATTATTTCTAAATGGGAAATGTTGAAAAGTGGAAGAAATTGTGAAAATAGTAAAGAAAAAAAGAATACCTGTTATAAAAAATTATAAACAAATTGAGAGAAGACTCAAATTTTCTTTACCATGGTAAACAGATATAGGATAACAAGGCTGCCAGTAAAATATTGTAATTAAATAAACATAATGTCCCTGGCTTGTAACTACATGCACAGAGATGTATTGTTATGAATCAAAGTTTTCTACTACTCAGAGTTTTTCTCAGTGCAAGTTTAACATCTTTATTCCTCAAGCTGTAGATAAAGGGGTTCATCATTGGAACCACATGGGTATAAAAGACAGAAGAGATTTTTCCCTTATCCATAGACCCAGCAGAAGATGGTTTCAGATACATAAATGCACATGATCCCAAGAACAGAGAAACAGTAATTATGTGGGAACTGCAAGTGTTGAAGGCTTTGGACCTGCCCTGCTTGGAGCTGATCTGAAGGATGTTGGAAAGGATGCAACCATAAGAAATAAAGATAGTAAGGCTGGGCACAAGGAGGTTGATGCCAACTACAATGAAAACCACCAGTTCATTGACAAAGGTGCTGGTACAGGAGAGCTGTACCATGGGAAGGATGTCACACAAATAGTGGTTGATGGTGTTTGCATCACAGAAGGTCAGTCTCAGCATACATCCAGTGTGGGCCATGGCACCAGAGAAGGCCATCAAGTATGAACCAAGCATAAGGTTGGAACACACTTTAGGGGACATGACAATGTTATACAAAAGTGGGTAACAGATGGCCACATAGCGATCACAGGCCATTGATGTCAACACATAGCATTCAGAAATGGCAAAAAAACAGAAAAAGAAAAGCTGGGTCATGCACCCCATGTAGGAGATAATGTTCTTCTCTGATATGAAGTTCATCAGCATTGTAGGTGTAAACACAGAAGAGTAACAGAGGTCTATAAAGGACAAGTTAAAGAGAAAAAAGTACATGGGGGTGTGAAGGTGTGAGTTCAGCCCAATTAAAGTTACCAAGCCCAAATTTCCCAATAGAGTTACCATATACATTACTAGAAACAGGAAGAACAGGGGTAGCTGGAGATCTGTCTGGTCTGTTAACCCCACCAGAATGAATTCAGTCATAGAAGATCCATTTACAAGAGCCATTCTTCTCTAAGAGGATCTGTGGGGACAAAAAAATAGTTTCATTAAAGGACATCTCAGCTCTTCCACAATGAGTCTTCCCACAAGTCCATAGGAATATCTGAAACTACCCCAACCTGGACCCACAAAATCTGCCTTTACACAGCAACACCAACTTACTCTACAGAGGGAAGGCCAGTGCTGCCATATGCAAACATAACTTCTGGAAATAACAACTGATAAGGGAGAAGAAGGGGTGACCAGGACAGATTTGTCCTTCTCTCATCTCATCATTTCTTTATTCACTTGAGCTCTCTTATCCAGTAAAATTGGATACAGAAGCCTTTGCTGCCTGTTCCTGGTCTCTAGTGTAGTTTAGACTCTATTGGGATGGGAACCAAGACTCTCATTTATAATTCAAAAGTAAGGAATCAGAGACTTGGACTTTAATTAACTGTCCAATATCACAGTGAAAAAGCTATAAATCCAGAACACAGAGAGTTCTGTCCATGGACGGCATACTTACTAATAGAGACACTGCAACCACTGTGCCTACTAATGCCTCTGAACATTCTCTGGTCCCTCTTCAAACACATTCTTGCATTAGTTTCACTTGAATCCCAGGACGACACAACATGGGGAAAAATGGAATATCTTAGATCCCTGGATTTCCATCTCAAAAAGGAGGATATTGATATAAATAGAATTCAGGAACTCACCATTCTTAGTCCAAAATGTCTTGGTGCTTCTTTATCTTTGTTATTTCCCTGTGGTCCTAGAAGAGTAATTTCAGGATCCCAGATTTGGGTTCCTTTGATTCTGAGAGGATGCAGTCCAGACCTAATTTCTGCTATGTCTTGAAAATATTTCTGAACTACAGATCATAATTTATGATTATGACTTTGATTCCTCTCAAGCAACACAGAAAAATAAACTGTCGCTCTTATTAACACTTTAACCACTACATAAGACATAGATTTCATGTAAGTTTAATGATATAATGCACTTGGTTACAAACAAGGTAGAAGCTTACTCAGTCTCTTCCCCAGGGAACAGCTCTAGGAATAATAGGGAAATAAGGGGACTGTATTTACATCTGGGACCATGTTCTGTCTTTAGCTCTTTGGGGATTCAATATTCTACTCAAGATTTCCCTTCACTCTAGGGATTGTACATCTACCAAGCGGAGCCAAAAATAAACTCCCATCTCCCCACCATCTCAATCTCTCTAAGGAAATGTATTATTTGGAGTCTTTCTCTCTTTCTTACCACATCCTAAGTGGAAATTTCTACAAAAAACAATGGAGTACTAGGACCTCTTATATTATCCTGTATAGAGATTGAGCCCATCCTTCAACATGAGGTATCACAAGAATGAAAAAACAAGCACCACACATACTCGCCATCAAATTGGTACTAACTGTTCAACACTAAGGTGCTCACATGGTAGTAATATTCACTGGGTGCTGGTCAGGTGGGGAGGGGGTGGGTAAACACACAAGTAAACACACAATATGTAGAGCATACTGTATGGGGGGGAGGTCACACTTGTAGCCCTGGTTTGGGCGAGGCAAAGGCATTACATGTAACCAAAATGTTTGTACCCCCATAATATTCTGAAATAAAACAACAACAACAACAACAATAACAATAACAACAAAAAGATATACCTCCAGCCTTCCCTATATTTTTTCATCTGCAAATTTTCAAGGATTGTAAGTAATTCACTTCAGGTGCTGTCCTTCCTGATATATCACCAAAACAACTTTGAATGGCTTCTATCTTTTCTAACATTTTTTACTTCTAAATACCAACTGGAAATTTCTACCTGAGTGTCCTGCTCAGTCTTTAAATTTGACATTTCAGTAATGAGATCATCAGTTTCTTCTTTTCATAGAAAAGAGTGGGCTCTGGTGTTCAAAATCCTATGTTTGAACCCCTCCTCCCCTATGTTTACTAACTATAATGTCTTGGGCAATTTACTTAACTTCTCTATGCTTCAGGTGCGTAATTTCTAAGATAGGGATAGTAATAATAGCTTCTCCTATTCATTGTCACTGGGTTGTGATGACCAAATGAGATAATATAAGTAAAATCGTGGCATGGTGCCCACCACATGGTAAATAGACAATAAATGTCAGCTCTCATTACATATGTTCTCATAACTTCTGGTAGAGCCTCCATTGTAACACTCATTAGAATTTTTTTCTGCTTTAATTCCTGTGTTCCTCTAAAAACCATAAATTATGTAAGTGTAAGGATCACTTCTGTGTACTACTTTGCTTCTGGTGCTAAGTACAGACCAGAGTTCATAGGAGGAACTCCTTAAATACTTATGGAAATTATCTTCTCTAGCTGAAAACCTTCAGAACCTTTTCTACATTTCTCACATGCTAAGAATAGCATCTACACATCAGTGACCTCCCTTCCTTTAGGTTTTAATTGGACTGTACTACTGAATTACAGTGGCTCCTAATTGTTATTCTAGCACTTTTCCATATACTCACTCTTATTTAGCCCATTTGCACTGCTGCTGGAATAAGCTCTGAAAATGCAGCTCTGTCTCTTCCTAGTTTTAGAACTTCCAGTGGTTCTCCATTACCCACTGGGCAATTGAGGCTATGTACTAAAAGCATCAGTCTCAATACTATAATTCAGACTTGATTAAAATTAATTAAGAAATAGAGTCAGATTATAGTTGATAAGAAACCATGAATTATTTTGAAGTATTCTAAGTACATTAAGTATTGTGTGAAATCTTACTCTTCCAACAAATAGGGAAAAGTGAATATCGGAGAATGGAAGGCATCTTGGACTGAATTCATTCAAAATAGCAATGGGCAAGTGACAGTTTAATTTCTGTGTAACACATAAAATAAAATTTCGTAGACCAATATTCTATTGTTTTTATTATGAATAAGTCTTTTTTTGTTTCCAAATGATGGCATAATACCTAATAAGCTTGTTACAGTACAGGTACTACTATGGAAATTGTGACATGCCTCACCAGGAAGGCTTAACTCAAACTCCTCAGCCTCACCATCCCAGGAAATGGTCACTATTACAAAAAGATCTGCATGAAACATTTTTTGTAGCCCACCCTGTTTACCCCACCTTGAAATCAAACTTCTGCAGAGCGATGTACATTTTTCTAGTTGGACATCAAAACCTTGAAGACCATCTCTCTGCCACAGGCATCTTGGCTGAAGGCTTCATTCCCAAAGGACCCCTACTTTCAGGCTCATTCTGAAGCAACTCTCCAGGAGTTCTCTTTGTTCCCTCACCAGTCTACTTTCCTTTCTTCCATTTCTTCATGAGATAAACAATGGGTTCAAAAACCAGGCTCAGTATCATTAGCTGTGTGGCCTTCATCAAGTCACATACCATTTCCTCATCTGAAGAACAGGATAATGAGACTTATGTTTAATAGATTTTATTTAAAAAAATGGCAGACAGGATGGGCCTCATATTTAAATTTTTATTTTAATAAACAAAAGAAGTGAAATTTACATTTGAAATAATATTGAAACAATAAATCCCAATCAGACAAGGTTCTTACCATATAAATTTGTTTGTGTTTTAAAAGAAGTATTAGGTCTTCCTTTCCAAACAGGAACTCTTGTTTCACAGCTAGGCTATCAAAGAATCTTGATAAAGCATATGACACTATTCTATCACCAAGAATGTGACTGTGTAATTTTTAAGCAGAATCACAGGTATCGGTACAACTGAGTGACAATGTCAATTTTATTAAAACAAAATATAAGTATACAAATGCATTGTCATTATTGGTGAGCAGAATGATGAGCTCAGTCCATCCACAAACATCCATAAGAATAGGACCTCAGTATAATAAGGTATATACAGTCCCATTACAGATATGAGGCTAAAAATCCTTAATGAGAACCATTACTAAAAGACCCATGAAACATTGTGAACATTTTTATAACTTTACTCATGTCCACACAATTTTTGTCATCCTTCCTCTGTTTCAATGCAGTAATAAATAATTAATAAAATCCTTGGAATAAGAAAGGGCTCTATGCAATTGCTTCAGAGAAAGCAAGAAAGAAATAAACTTATCAGACAGCATCCAACCCCATGGCTTATCTTGAATGATGAAGACAGATAAGAAAAATAGGCAGTAGCATTATCCTTACATAGGAAAGGCTATCAGCTCAGCATCGCTATCTGGTAAGGGGAATGAGGATATGGTTGGGGCCACAGTGGGACTGAGATGACTCTCGAGTCCAAGAACAGGCCCACATGGTTACATTGCATGTTGAGAGATAGGGAGATATTAAAGTAGAAATCTGGCCAAAAAGACTTTAGAAAGAAAGATGAAGAAAAGGAATAAAAGAAAAGGAGGAATAAGATGAGGAAGAGCAGGAAGAGGAGAGAAAGACCCAGCAATGCAGACAGGGACTAAGACTGCACCACTGCCTCTGCTCAGTTTCTGATTTTCTTCAGGGTTTTCTTCAGAACAAGTTTGACATCTTTGTTCCTCAGGCTATAAATGAGAGGGTTCAACATGGGAACCACATTGGTGCAAAACACTGAAAAAAGTTTCTCCTGGCCCATAGACCCAGCGGATGATGGCTTAACATGAGTGAGCAGCCCAAATCCATAAAAGAGCCCAACTGTTACTATGTGGGAGGCACAGGTGCTGATGGCTTTGGACCAACCCTTAGCTGAGGACATGTGAAGGATATTGAAAAGAATCAAAGCATAAGAGATGATGATAATGAGGCTAGACACTAAAACAACTGTGCCCACAATAATAGAACTCACCAGCTCATTGGCATGGGTGCTGCTGCAGGAGAGCTGGAGGAGAGGGAAGATGTCACACATATAATGGTTGATGATGTTGGAATCACAAAAGGTGAGCCTGATCATACACCCTGTGTGCACCATGGCACCAGCAAACCCCATCAGGTATGAGCCAAACATCAGCAGAGAACAGCTCTGAGGGGACATGGCCACTGTGTACAGCAGGGGCTTACAGATGCCCACATAGCGATCATAGGCCATGGCTGTCAGCACGTAGCACTCAGAGTTGACAAAAAAGCAGAAGAAAAATAGCTGAGTCATGCATCCTGTAAAGGAGATGATGTTCCTCTTCGAAATAAAGCTCACCAGCATTTTGGGGGTAAGGACAAATGAATAACAGAGATCAATGAAGGACAGATTGAAGATGAAAAAGTACATGGGGGTGTGAAGGTGTGAATTCAGGAAAATTAGATTAATTAAGCTCAAGTTTCCCACCACGGTGACCATGTAGTTCACCCAGAGAAGAAAAAACAGGGGCAGCTGGAGCTCAGGTTGATCTGTTAATCCCATGAAAATAAACTCCGTCACTGAAGAGTCATTTTCCACAGCCATTCACTCCACAGGTGTGATCTGCAGGAACAGGGTAGAAGGCGACATTAACAATGGACCCTCACTCTGTCTCCGAAGGGACAGCTAAATGTGCTGGTTTACAATCTTGGGTTTTTCTGAAAAGACTCAACAAGGCATCTAAAAAGCAAGACTTTTCATGGTGATTCTCTAGTATTTCCCACTTCCTCCTTCCCCCGACCCACGTGTGTCTCAGTGAAGAGAGAATGCTGGTAGACCTCCGAATGTCTCTGCACGTCTTTCCCTCCCTTCTCCTTAGGCTTCATTAAGGATTAGGGCTGAATACAGAAATAAATAGTGCCCCCTTCGCCCCCAGAACCCTTGATTTATATAGTTTTGTGTTTGAAAGAAAATTATTAAGATAAAAGTGATTCAATGCTCACCTTCCTATCCTTGAAGGACTGACCACTGCTCGACCTTAGGGCCCTTCCTCTCCACTGTCCTGAGGGGGTCAAGGTTTCTGATGATGGGATGTAAGAGCCATCAGAGAAATCTTCAGTCTTTGGCATGCTAGAAGAGGTATTGTAGGGAATATGCCATGATTTCTATTTGAGAATTTTCTCATGTGATTCTTTTCACTTGCAAGGAGGAAAACAGTTACCTTGTATGAAACTCCTAAAGAACTAACTCAAATGAAAATCTGTCTCACACTCTACAGTTCTGGAAGAATTGATTAGAAGTATAGAAAATTATTCTCTGCTTTATGATTTCCTCACAAGTTTGATGAGCCCCTGGAGGGTAGATATTACTGAAGCCTGTGTTTACATCCTGTGTCACGTACCTAACATCAGATCCTTTGGGACTCCGTGTTCGACTGAGTTTATAATTTCAACTTGGAAAATTCTAATCCCCAATGCAGAGTAGTGGGCAACCCCCTTTGTCACCCGCCTCCTCATCCCCTGGAGTCTATGCTCCATTCTACAAGAGGAAAGTCCAGGGTCACAATCCCTTGCCATTTCTATTACTTTTCCACAAGCCTCTGGGATGGCATTAGTAAAATATTACATCATAGCTTTAACACTACACATGTGTGTATATTTTACTTAAATAATGAGTTGTTGTAAAGTGATTAAGAGAGTGGGAGTGAGCCCTCGAGTCAGACTGAATTTAAATCCAGACTTTTTAACTTCCTAATTGTGAGACTGTAGACAAGTGATTGAACTTCTTTGACATTCATATATGCATATTTGGATCTGCATATAATTGTGTGTGGTTATAAATTGAGGTTAATAAAAAACCTATCTCATAGAGTTGTTGTGGAAATTATTTAAGTTAATTAAAATAAAGTATAATAAATGTGCCTGACACATAAAAAGAGCCTGATAGATGTTAGTATCCCTTCCCCTGTTCTTCATCTATATTCATATGAATCAAGCTTTCTCAATCTTGACACTTTTGACATTTGGTATGAGACTATTTTTTGTTGTGGGGCTGTCCCTTGCAGTATAGGATGCAAAGCATCCCTGCTGTACTCATTAGTTGCCAGTAGTGTTCCTCCAACACGTACATATATGAGTAGCTACAATCAAAATATTCCCTACTGTCAAATGTCCCTTGAATGGCAAAATTACCCACATTTGAGAACCACTGATCTCTCCATATAGCCTGAACATAACTGCTTTTTAGAAAATTCTATTTTATACCTATTTATGGTTTTCAAGCTCAAAGTGCAGCAAACTGAATTCATCATTTTCTTATGATTCCCAAGGATGCTCCTTCTCAGGTCAGCACTTCCTACATTGCTTTTACCACTATCTAGGCAACTAATCCACAAACTGAACTTACATAACTTCTTCCCACTCACTACTTTCCTCAGCGTCCAAGTCCCAAGGAATCTATCTCCTTGAAAGATCTGGACTTTCCTCTCACTTAACTAACCTTTGTAGTCTCTCTTCATCTGAAATTTGGATTACTGTAACAATTTCCTAATTTTGGATTTGGTGAGAATTTGTACCATTTCACCCCCACCAGTAATGCATACACCCCTTCTCTTCCTTCTCTTCCTGCTGTGGTGTCTTCCAGTAGCTAGTCCTCACCAATATGGTTAGAATCATAAATTCAATTATATCACTATTCCTGTGTTACATTATTAAGCCTATTTTAAACACTATTTACAGCTAATCCATCAAATGCTAGGATTGTTTTCATTTCTATAACTTTTTATTTTTTTCTTATTATTCCATATATTTTCCCTGATTCTCTTCTGACTCCTTCCTCATTTTTTTATAAACCTCTTCTTAACATATTCAATCATAAGGATTCAGTTTCATCTTCTCATATAAACTTCTCAGGAAGTTTTTAACAAACTTCCACCTTCATTGATTGTTTTTCGTCTATAATGTGAATTAGAAATCTTGATATTTTTCTTCATCATTATACTAAGAATTCCCTTTCTCTATCGTATACTAAATTCTCTATTTCCTGAATCACTCATCTTCCTATTTCTTGGTTTGCTTACTCATTTTGATACAAGACATACAACCTTTCTTTCTTGAGAAAAGGTGCATAAAACACAAATGTTATACACCATACATGACTGAAATTGCCTGCATGTACATTTCTATTTATTGGCCATTTCCATGGAAATAGACAACTGACTTAGAAACTGCCACTCCTCTAAATTTTGAAGGGATTGATCAAATTTTAAGAAACTCAAAACCTCTATGATTCTTGATTTCTTTGTGAAAACTGGTTTCTTTCCCTCCATTTTTGAAGGTTTTAAGATTTTATATTTGTTTCCATTGTTCTGAATATTTGCAACATTGTATCTTGACGTGTGTCTAAAATGGGTGCCCTTTAAAATATTTTAAGATTAGGAAACAAAAATAAGTTTGATGGAACCAGATCAGGACTATAAGGTGGATGACTGATGATTTACCTTTGAAATGCTAACAAAATTGCCCAGTTTGATGAGAGGAATGAGCAGACGCATTGTCGTGGTAAAGAAGGACTCTCTGCTGAAGGTTCCCTGAGCACTTTTCCCCTAAAGCTTTGGCTGACTTTTTCAAAACACTCTCATAATACTCAGATGTTGCTGTTCCTTGGTCCTCTAGAGAATCGACAGGGAAAATGCTCTGAGCATTCCACAAAACTGTTGCCATGACCTTTGCTATTGGCCAGTCTGCTTTTGTTTTGACTTACCACTGCCACCCCTTGGTAGCCATTGTTTTGATTGTGCTTTGTCTTCAGGATTGTACTGGCAAAGCCACATTTTTTGCCTCCTGTTATAATTCTCTGAAGAAATCCTTCAAGATCTTTATATCACTTGTTTAAAATTTATTTTGAAAGCTCTGCTCTTGTTTGCAGATGATATGGCCTCAATGGTTTTGACACCCATCAAGTACAAAGTTTTCTAAACTTTAATTTTTCAGTCTGAATTATGTAAGCTTGACCAACTGAGATGTCTGTGGTGTTGGCTATTGTTTCTGCTGATACTTATAGGTTCTCTTCAATAAGAGCATAAAAAAGATGAATTTTTTCTAGCAAATTGATGTGGATAATCTGCCACTGTAGGCTTCATCTTCAACATAATCTCATCCCTTTTTACAATGAGTTTTCCATTTGTAAACTGCTCATTTTGGGGTGGTATTTCTCCCATAAACTTTTTATAGAACATCAATGATTTAACCATTCTTGCACCAAGCTTCATTATAAATTTGATATTTGTTCTTGTTTCAACTTCAGCAGAATTCATATTGTTCTGATAGAGGTTCTTTTCAAAGTAGTGTCTAATCCTTCTTAGGGCCTCAAACTAGATGCTGTTCAGACATGTTATAATAAATTAGTAAGACTTTATTTTGTTGCAAAAAAATTAAAATGTATGCATAGTTTTTTCATAGTATACATTTTCCATGAACTTCTTGAAGACCCCTTATACACTAAGAGAAGCATTAATTAAATCCATTCAGGAAGCTCAAATCCTTTAGCTTTGGATGCATATTTCTTAACCTGTATGAACTTTGATGTCCTCCTCCTACTTTGTTCCCTTTCTGAAACTTTCATTATTCAGAAGCTGAGATCCTGAAATTTCTTCTTCTTTTTCTATATTTATATTTCTCTTTTTTCATTCTTTGCTGTATTCTCTCAACCTCAACTTTTTCTTCTGGGTCTTTTTTTTTTCTATCATTTCTAATGTTCATGACTATACTTTCTCCTCTTATGATGTTTTCCTGGAATTTTTTTCCTTTGCATTGCTTCTTTCCTTCAAATTGTTTCTGATTGTCAAGTAGTATATTTTACATTAGAAGTTATGTTTGAGTGTCGCAGCACACTTGCCCAAAGTTTAGCATCAGGGAGGGGGGTTCTAAAAGCTGACTAGCATCTCTATGTGGGCACTTAGTGCTTATCAAATGTGGGCTTCACTGTATACTGTCCCATTTCAATGGGGGAACTCTTAGCGATAATACCCTTAGGTCTTTTATCATGAACTGATTTGATTACACAGAAAAGAGTCATTCAGTCTTCCTGAAGGATATATTCCTAGCTTTCAACATTCTCTGGGTTGAGTGGAGGAAGAAGGCCAATGGCATTAACACCTATAAGGTGAAACTTCTATTTTATTTGCCTTGCTGTCAGTATGGTAAACTCTCCCTCAAATATGCATATAGTCTCCTGATTAAGAAACTGTGCTTTACTTTCTTTAGTGAATGATCCTCTAGTCTATTACTGGGTGTAAATGGAGGCAGTCACGTACCTTCATGCAGAGGTAGAGGAGATCTGAAAATCTAATTAGCCCTTGAAAAGACTTTTAAGCATTCCATTTGTCCTGTCCCCACCTTCACTTTCGCCAAAGGTGCCTGTGCCACGAAACTCTGAGCATATGAGAGATTTTAAGGTGTAAACTAGCTGTTTTTTAGTTTCTCTAGTTATTTATTAGTGTCAAATGTTGTGAGAATGCCAAATCAAATACTGTTCCTTTATCTACATTCTAAGTTCCCAAATTTTGGAGTTATGATCCTACTATTTAGTTTTGTTTCGTTTGTCCC